AGCCCAGTCACCACCACCCCCGGAGCCTGCGGATCAGGGGCCACCCCCTGCCCCCCATCCCCCACCACTTTTGCCTCAGCCCCCCAACTGTGAGTGTCCTCTTGTCTGGCCATCCAGCACACCACTGGGTACTTGCCCTGGGATGGGTATGGAAGATGCTGGGAAATTGGAGAGTCCCTGTCCTCCAGTGTCTCAGTCTGGACTAGGGAGGGGTGAAAAGATGAGAAATAGATGCTTGCAGTCAGTGTGACCAGTGCGGAGCTCAGGACCTTGGGAACAGAGGACAGAGCTCGCAGTAGCCAGCCCCCCTGCCTGGGAGTTGGTTCTGTGTCCACTTGGTCCTTTTCTCACCTCTGTCTTGTCTTTGCAGTCCCCCAGGGCCTCCTGCCTCCTTTTCCTCCAGGCATGTTCCCACTGTGGCCCCCCATGGGCCCCTTTCCACCTGTCCCGCCACCCCCCAGCTCAGGAGAGGCTGTGGCCCCTCCATCCACCAGTGCAGGTGAGCCTTTGGGTACTGTGACAGCCAGAGGGTGGCAGAGATGGAACACTCACTGATAACTTGTTCCTACTCTTCAGCAGCCGTTTCTCGGCCCAGTGGAGCAGCCACAACCACAGCTGCTGGCACCAGTGCTCCTGCTGCTTCTGCTACACCATCCAGCTCGGGCTCTAGCTCTGCCCCAGAGGCTGGCCCTGCCCCTGGCTTCCCCTTCCCTCCTCCCTGGATGGGCATGCCCCTGCCTCCACCCTTTGGTAAGTTGGGCCACTCTCTGGGTTCTTCTTGGGGGTGAGGTTGGTATCTGGCCCCAGAAGCAGCCCAGACTGAGCCCCTCTCTCTCTCTCTCTCCCTCCCTCCCTCTCCCTCTCTCTCCCTCTCCCTCTCTCTCTCTCTCTCTGTCTCTCTCTCCAGCCTTCCCCCCAATGCCTGTGCCCCCTGCGGGCTTTGCTGGGCTGACCCCAGAGGAGCTTCGAGCTCTGGAGGGCCATGAGCGGCAGCACCTGGAGGCCCGGCTGCAGAGCCTGCGTAACATCCACACACTGCTGGACGCCGCCATGCTGCAGATCAACCAGTACCTCACTGTGCTGGCCTCCTTGGGGTGTGTCTGCACAGGGGAAGCAGAGTGGGTTTGGTGGGAGTGGAGCTGCTAAGAGGTCCCCAGCAGTGGTTCTTGGCCTTTGACACCTGCTGGTTCAGGCTACCTGTCTACAGGCCCTCCCAGGGTCTCGAGAAGTTCTCGGTAACTCCTGGTGCCTGTCTATCTTCCCACTCCAGAAAGCATATCTGGAGCTAAGTCGGAGTGATGTTTATTTGAGAGCTGACCTTGGAGTTTACTCCTTTTTATTTTTCTAAAGTCAAATTATTCAGAATTTGTAGTGCTTTAATTTATCACGATATTCTCCTGAGATATGGTAACACTTGGATTGGCAACTGCTGCCCTCAAACTGAGGGAGCGAAAAATAGGAAGTCACTTGGAACCATCCCAAGTTTAAGCGCTGGTCCCATCACTCACTTGCTTTTGACCTCTCACATTATTTGAATAAAGGGGTCTTAATTCTTGTTCATAAGTGATGTGTACTGCCGATGTGGTAGTTTACACCTGTAATCTCAGCACTTTGAGAGGCTGAGCCAGGAGGATTGCTTGAGCTCAGGAGTTTCAGGCTGCAGTGAGCTATGATTGTGCCACTAAATTCCAGCTTTGGTAACAGAGCTGAGACCCTGTCTCTTAAAGTGACATGTACATAATGCCTGGCTTCCAGCAGTGAGAGCACAGGCTTGGAGGGGAACTTGAGTCCAAGGCTTGGGCACTATGACGTATTCGGTGGGTCCCCTATAAAGTGCCTGACTCCCCAGGGTGGAGACTGCAGGATAATAGTGAACAGGTCACCAGTCCCTACCTGGAAACCTCTTACAGTCTCAGGGATAGAATAATTTGGTCCTTGAGTCAAGTCACCCTATCTGAGTTCATTCAGCATGTTCACTTGTTTGCCAGGCACTGGGGCCACAGGGGCACATCATTCTATACTCTGTTCTGCAAGGCTCACCAAGGGCAGGAGAATCTGCCCAACCTAGGATGCCAAGACCAGGCCCGCCTCTCATCCCTTCTTTTCCCAGGCCCCCCCGGCCTGCCACTTCAGTCAACCACACTGAGGAGACTGCCACTACAGTTGCTGCTGCCTCCTCCACCAGCGTCCCTGACTCAGAGACCACAACTCCAACCCCAGGAGCCTCCACACCAGCCCCTGAAACGGAAAGGCCTCCAGGTAGGTGTGATTTGCCTCTGGGGGCGGCAGGGAGGAGGGAACTTCTCTAGGTCCCACTTCTAGTCTATCGTCCACAGCTCCTGAGTCAGTGGGCACAGAGGAGATGCCCGAGGATGGAGAGCCTGATGCAGCTGAGCTCCGCCGGCGCCGCCTGCAAAAGCTGGAATCTCCTGTTGCCCACTGACACTGCCCCAGTCCCGGCCCCAGCCCCTGCTCTTTTGAGCAGCCCTCGCTGGAACACGTCCTGCCACCAAGTGCCAGCTCCCTCTCTGTCTGCACCAGGGAGTAGTACCCCAGCTCTGAGGAAAAGGCGGCAGCATCCCCTAGGCCAAGTGGAAAGAGGCTGGCGTTCCCAGTTGACACCAGTCCTCATAGTCCCAGCCAGTCATGGGGATCTTGGGTCACTTCCAGCCTTCCTCTCCAACTCTTCAGCCCTGTGTTCTGCTGGGGCCATGAAGGCAGGTGATTCAGCCTCTGAGAAGCCCTCTTCCCCACCCCTTTCTGGGAGGAGGGGCAGCCCCTCCGAGTCCCACATGTGCGTGCGGAGTCACACTGCAGTGCCGAACAGTATTAGCTCCTGTTCCCAAGTGGGGACTCCAGAGGGGCTAGAGCTAAGCTAGGAACTTGTTCCCTGGCCCGCCCCCAAGACTGGTACCCATTTCCTTTTCTTATCCTGATCTCCCCAGAAGCCCTTTGTGGTGGTGGCTGTGCCCCCTATGCCCTGTGGCATTTCTGCGTCTTACTGGCAACCACACAACTCAGGGAAAGGAATGCCTGGGAGTGGGGGGGCAGGCGGGCAGCACTGAGGGACCCTGCCCCTCCCCTCCCCCCAGGCCTCTTTCCCCTGCAGCTTCTTAGGTGAGACTGACCTGTCTCACCCAGCAGCCACTGCCCAGCCACACTCCAGGCAAGGGCCAGTGTGCCTGCTCCTGACCACTGCAACCCCAGCGCCCAAGGAAGGCTACTTCTCAACTAGCAGAACTTCTTGAGTTTAGAATTGGAATTTCTTCCTTACTAGTGTCTTTTGGCTTAAAATTTGTCTTTTGAAGTTGAATGCATAAACTCGCCCTGGAAAGAGGAACAGGAGTGCCAGACTCCTGGTCTTTCCAGTTTAGAAAAGGCTCAGTGCCAAGGAGGGACCACAGGAACTAGGACTTGCCTGCCCGTCTTTTCCCCTTGGTTTTGTGTTATAAGAGTTGCTGGAGACCGTTTCAGATGATTATTTAATTTGTAAATATTGTACAAATTTTAATAGCTTAAATTGTATATACAGCCAAATAAAAAACTTGCATTAACAATTGGTGAGGCTGTGTCACAGAAAATCAGCACTGGGCTCCCTGTTCTGGCTGTACACTTGAGAATGGCCTGGAATCTTCAGGCTTGAGGGTTTCCATGGAAGCCAGAACTATCCTTGGGGATACCATTGACCATTAACAGATTAGGAAGATGTGCTCATTTTACACATGGAGAAGCGGCCCAGAGTTCACTGCCCTGCCTGAGGGCAGAGACCAAGTTGGGGAGCCCAGGAACTGAAAGCCGTCTTAGCCAGTTTGGGGGTAGGGTGAGGTCTCAGGCCTTTGACCCCTGTGACTCCAAGTATAGGGCATGTTCGAAGACTAGTTGGCTGGGGTTGGGATGCAATGGTAGAGTGAAAGGTCAGCATCTTCCTGCCTGCAAACCCCTCTCCAGCCTTGATTCCAGGTCAGCAGGCTGGGGAGGATGGCCCTAGGCTGGCTGCAAGGAGTTCCCAGGCACTCCTTGTGGTCAGGCCAGCAAGTCTAGTCTGCAACGGAACAGTTACCAAAAAAGAACGGACCACCTCTCTCTCAGAAAGAGCCCGGGGCTAATGTGGGCTAATGCTGGCACCCCAGTGTCAGCACTGCACTTGGAACAGAAGATCTCCAAGACCCATGCCCGAGTCACCTGTAGTCACCTGTGTTCCCCACAGCCTGCACCAAGCAAGATCTGGCCTGCAGCAAGGGCCTGGGGATGTTTGCAACAGTGATCTGTGGAGAAAGGAAAGTACCCAGTGGCTCCGTCCTGTTCTACCTTCCCCTAAACTGGGTTGGGCTACTGCTTCCACCAGAAAACAACTAGAATTTGAATTGCTGAGCCCAAGGAGTCCCAAGGAAAGGAAAGAAAAACACACCAAGGTGGGCCGGGTGCAGTGGCTCACACCCATAATCGCAGCACTTTGGGTGGCCAAGGTGGGGAGATCACTTGAAGTCAAGAGATAGAGACCAGCCTGGCCAACATGGTGAAACCCCATCTCTATTAAAAATAGAAAAACTAGGCTGGGTGCGGTGGCTCCTGCCTGTAATCCCAGCACTTTGGGAGGCTGAGGCAGGCGGATTGCCTGAGGTCAGGAGTTCGAGACCAGCCTGGTTAACCTGGTGAAACCCCGTCTCTACTAAATACAAAAAATTAGCAGGGCGTGGTACAAATTCCCGATGCTTGGGAGGCCGAGGCAGCAGAATCGCTTGAATCTGGGAGGCGGAGGTTGCATCATTGCACTCCAGCCTGGGCAACAGAGTGACTCCATCTAAAAAAAAAAAAAAACAAAAAAAAAAAAACTAGCAGGGTGTGGTGGCGGGCATCTGTAATACCAGCTACTCAGGAGACTGAGGCAAGAGAATTGTTTGAACCAGGAGGTGGAAGTTGCAGCAAGCTAAAATCGCGCCACTGCACTCCACCCTGGAAGACAGAGTGACACTGTCAAAAAAAAAAACAAAAACAAAAACAAAAAAACAGGCCAAGGTAGGAGAGACGCTGCTAATGCCCCCAACAAGTCTGGTTTATTCCTATTTGGTCTCCGGCGTTAGGCACTCTTCTCCCAGCATGTACATAGGGTCCAGTTTTCTCCTTTATGCAAGCAAGGCCTCACCCCAAAGTCCTTTAGCCCTAGTTTTTGTATCTGCAGTGCCAAGGGCTCCAACATCCACCTCCCTGGCCCCCTAGGCTCAATCTGCAGGGGATGCTGTCATGCAGGCTGTTCGGCTGGGCCTCAGAACCCTTTCTCCAAAAGCCAGGCTTTAAGCTCTTGGTCAAAGTAGCCCTTGATCCGCAGGGTACCTGTCACCTCATTGACCTGGGTGATGGGTGTCTTCCCCAGCAGTGGGCTCAGAAAATCTTCCACATCTTTCTGCAGAGCCTGGGGGAAGATAGCAAATCAGGTAGGCCAAGAGTCCCTCCCCTTGAAAGGACTCCTGTCCCTTGAGCCCTGAAAGGGTCAGGCCCAGCCCCAGCCCCACCCACCCACTTACCCAGATGTCCCCTTCCACCTTCCGGATCACAGTCATCTGGCGGTTGCCATGCGTGATGTCCTTGTAGACAGGGATGTTGTGCATCCGAGAGCGTCGTATAAAGTAGGGCAGGTTGGGTGGGGGGTCTGCAACAGGGAAAGACTTTTATTTATTTATTTATTTTTTGGAGACAAGTCTTGCTCTGTCAACTAGGTTGGAGTGCAGTGGCACAATCTCGGCTCACTGCAGCCTCTGCCTCCCAGGTTCAAGTAATTCTCTCACCCCAGCCTCCCGAGTAGCTGGGATTACAGACATCCACCACCACACCCAGCTAATTTTTTGTATTTTAGTAGAGGTGGGGTTTCACCGTGTTACAAAGGCTGATCTCAAACTCTTAACCTTGTGATCTGCCCACCTCGGCCTCCCAAAGTGTGGGGATTACCTGGCACGAGCCACTGTGCCCAGCCGGGAAAGACATTGTTAAGTCAACTCTTCCTAGACACCACCCCACCTCAGCCAAGGCCCTTCCCCTCAGTCTGCAGACAGTACACTCAGCTGGACCAAGCCACCACCAGACTTCAAGTCAGGGGGTCTCCACTTTCCTTCAGCTTGGAGTCAGGACCAAATTGTTCACCCTGGTACCCCAAGGCCCGACACAGGGCCTGGTACTAAGTAGGTGCTCAAGAAAAAATGAAGTCAGGGACATGCCTCCCCAGATCTTTGGGTTCCCCTCTGGGCCAATCCTTGCCCTTCTCCACTGGGTCAGGGAGGGTGAACTCAATCTCTGGAACAAAGAGATTGGGATTTACAAGCACTACAGCGTAGGATTTACCTACCATATGCTGGGCTCTGCACTAAGTGCTCTGTGAACTGAGCAATTATCTCCATTTTGCTAAAACAGGTTGGGTCAAGCTAAGTGACTAATTTAAGATAACACCAACAGTAAATAAAGCCAAATTCAAACCCAGAACTGCCTGACTCCAAACTGTGTTCTTTTTTTTTTTTTGAGACGGAGTTTCGCTCTTGTTACCCAGGCTGGAGTGCAATGGCGCGATCTCGGCTCATGGCAACCTCCGCCTCCTGGGTTCAGGCAATTCTCCTGCCTCAGCCTCCTGAGTAGCTGGGATTACAGGCACGCACCACCATGCCCAGCTAATTTTTTGTATTTTTAGTAGAGACGGGGTTTCACCATGTTGACCAGGATGGTCTCGATCTCTTGACCTCGTGATCCACCCGCCTCGGCCTCCCAAAGTGCTGGGATTACAAGCGTGAGCCACCGCGCCCGGCCTAACTATGTTCTTAATTACAGTACACAGTCTGCTAGGGGGAAAGAAGGTCCAAGCTCTTGGGTTTTCTCTCTGTTGAGAGAAAACTTTCCCCACATGGGGAAGACTCAGTCCCAGTAGTGTGGATGGATGAGTACCAGTGAAACAGAGGGCTCTTCCTTGGGCATGAGAGATTTAACCCAGAGGGATGTCAAAACAAGTTCTGAATCCACTGGAGATCTGGCACCTCATGGGGGAGGCCAACCTCTGGAGAGGAGGATGCTCCATGAAGCCTTCAAACCATCCCTAATCACCCAGCTCACCTCTGGGAGGCTGCCAACCACTAGGTGTAGGGTAACGTTCATGCTTTGGGGGAACTGGGATCCTGGTAGCTGGTAAAAGGCGCTCCACAAACTGGTATTCATCCACAGACTCCACAAAGCTGGGGTAATCCGGAGGACCCTGGGTCTGGCTCTGAAGCAAAACAAAAAACCCATTTCTCCATTAGCCTTCCCAACATAGGATGGCATAACTTCAGTAAGTAGAGAATGGAAACATTACAGGTAGAGAGAATGGCAGAAATAAAAGGCTGGGTGATCTGTGTGAAAGTTATCAGAATCAAAATAGAGTCACTTGGGTTAAAAACCCAACAAACAGAGCTAGGAGGGCCATGAAGAGAGTTCTTGTGCACAAATACTTAAAAAGAACTATCACGAAAGACTGCAAAAACTACAGCCTTGCACAAAGGCTACCACAGCCTTACACACAAAAAAATTTCTGCCGGGCACAGTGGCTCACACCTGTAATCCCAGCAATTTGGGAGGCAGAGGCAGGCAAATCACCTGAGGTCAGGACTCCAAGACCAGCATGGCCAAATCCCATCACTACTAAAAATACAAAAATTAGCCAGGCGTGGTAGCGCATGCCTGTAATCCCAGCTACTAAGGAGGCTGAGGCAGGGCAGGAGAATCGCTTGAACCCAGTGGGTGGAGATTGCAGTGAGCTGAGACTGTGCCACTGCACTCCAGCCTGGCAAGAGAGTGAGACTCTGTCTCAAAACAAAAAAATGTCTGCAAGGACATCTGTCCAACTGCCTGTCCAATCTTGAACTGGCACCACCCTTGTTATTCATCCTTGTAGCCAAAGATAACTATCTCAAAACTTTTTTTTTTTTCCAAAACAATTATACAACACTCATTTTTGCTTTCCTTTTATTTATTTTTATTATTATTATTTATTTGAGATGGAGTCTCACTCTGTCACCCAGGCTGGAGTGCAGTGGTGTGATCTCAGCTCACTGCAACCCTGCTCCCAGATTCAAGCGATTGTACTGCCTCAGCCTCTGGAGTAGCTGGGATGACAGGTGCCTGCCACCACACCCAGCTAATTTGTGTATTTTTATTACAGATGGGGTTTTCCCATGTTGGCCAGACTGGTCTCGAACTCCTGACCTCAGGTGATCTGCGCACCTCGGCCTCCCAAAGTGCTGGGATTACAGGTGTGAGAGCCACCATGCCCAGCCCATGTTTCCTTTAAAAACCTTTGTCTTCGGCCGGGCGTGGTGGCTCAAGCCTGTAATCCCAGCACTTTGGGAGGCCGAGGTGGGTGGATCACGAGGTCAAGAGATCGAGACCATCCTGGTCAACATGGTGAAACCCCATCTCTACTAAAAATACAAAAAATTAGCTGGGCATGGTGGTGCATGCCTGTAATCCCAGCTACTCAGGAGGCTGAGGCAGGAGAATTGCCTGAACCCAGGAGGCGGAGGTTGCGGTGAGCCGAGATAGCGCCATTGCACTCCAGCCTGGGTAACATGAGTGAAACTCCGTCTCAAAAAAAAAAAAAAAAAAAAACCTTTGTCTTCTTTTACCTCCCTGATAAGCACATAGTCTATACCCATTCCCAAATAAATACCATTTTCTTTTAGAGTCTGTTATTTAGGTTGACATAAGATAGCACTGGTCTTTAGCTTTCCACGGTGAAGGGTACAGATGGGATGGAAACGAAGCTCAGATACTGTGAACAGTCTGCATCTCTTAGGATTTCTGTGGGATTCAAGAGTATGTGTACGCTTCTGAAAAGCCAATCAAGCCTTCAGAAATTTAAGGCTTAACTTTCTGCCTCGGTTTTAGAAATAAATATTATTATTACATTGGCAGGGTGGCCTTGTTTGTACCTCCATGATTGCCCGGCTGGCCTTGCTAACATAATCACATCTGTGATTGGATATAGTGGTGTTGAATTTAATGATTGCCTTAATTCTTAAGGCAATCATAATTCCCCACGCACACTCATATGCTAGGACCCCGCCCCTTACCTGAAAAGTTTTGGCCTCATATAGACATTGCCAGGCACTGTGTTAAGTGCTTTACGGGCACTGGCCTTCACTTAATTCTAATAACGTGCCTGATCAGGTATTTTATTACACCTTTTTTACAGCCAGGAAAGGCCAACACTAACAAATAATTGTAAACTCTCTACTTAAGGTCACAGCCTGGAGTCTGCCTTCCCGTCCTCCAGCATAAAGATCCTTCTTGGACAGATATCCCTAAGTTCTGACAGGCTTGGGGTTACAAGAGCAGGGAAGTAGGATGAAGTAGCTGAATATCAGCAGCTCTGCGCTCCCAAAAGCGTCGCCAATGATCTGGTGCCAGCGCCTGCTCTGTGATTTCGCTTTCGAAAAACTGGGCAGCTACTAGAGTCGATGTGCAGCTCCTCTCAGTCCTGACTAACTTGGGATGTCCTGCAGCCAGAATCTAACCCACACACGGCTCCCAAAGAGCACTCCAGTCTCTGCCACTTTCCCTCTCGTTCCTATATCTACACTCGAGACAAGTTCTCCAGATCGTAAACGGCAAAACTAAGGCCCCAAGTAGGAATGCCCTAGTTTTCAGAGTTACAATGATTAACAATGAGCCTCAGACACGCGTTGCCCTCAGCTCCAGGCTCAGCACTCTCACCAACAGCCGTAGCCCGCAGCTCCGCTGGACGCCGGTTCTCCACCCCTGCAGCAAAACCCAAAACTTGGTAGCTGCCATCTTGACCCGTTACGCCAGCCGTCTGCGCGTGCAACTGTCTGGTCCCGCCCCTTCCTGGGCGCGCTGCCTGGGACGGAAAAACGCCTGCGCCAGCGTAAAGGGGCGGAGCTAGTGCCGCCTTGGGCGGTACAAATACCAGGGCTCCCCGCGGTCGCTCAGCAGTGACGCGACGCTCAACTGGTGATCTGTACGTGCGCGCCCTCGCTCCTTCCTCTTTCTCGACTCCATCTTCACGGTAGCGGCAGCTGACACCGCGGTGCAGGTAAGACTAGGGCCTTGGCTGGATCCGAAGGGCTTCATAGCAAGTTGGCTGCCGGGTCAGAGGGAGCGGGGTAAACTGAAGAACGGGACCTGCTCTGTGGTTCTGCTCCAGTTCCTATCCGAACTTCTTGGCAGGCCTGGCCTTCCCCACGTGAGTCTCCGCGACCACCTCCATCCCGTCGCGATCGTTTCTGGGCCGCTTTCCATTCCCAAACCTCCTTTGTCCCAGAGCATTTCTTCGCTTCTCTTACAAGCCATCTTTCTTTACTCAGTCGCCAACATGCAGCTCTTCGTCCGCGCCCAAGAGCTACACACCCTCGAGGTGACTGGCCAGGAGACGGTCGCCCAGATTAAGGTAGGGCTGTTTGGTGCGCCCTGGATTCCATTTTCTTGTGCTCTTCACTTTCGGGGACCGAGGGAACTCTTACGAGCCTTATCTTTCCCTGTAGGCTCATGTAGCCTCACTGGAGGGCATTGCCCCGGAAGATCAAGTCGTCCTCCTGGCAGGCACGCCCCTGGAGGATGAGGCCACCCTGGGCCAGTGCGGGGTGGAGGCCCTGACCACCCTGGAAGTAGCAGGCCGAATGCTCGGAGGTGAGTGAGAGAGGAATGTTTTTGAACTACCTGTACGCGTCTATGGGTGTGGGGGCATGGTCCTGGAGTTGAGAGTCGTCGCATCTATGGTAATATATAGAGTTCTTCCCTGTGTCGTCAGTTCACAGTGATTCTTCCTGTTTACGTGCCTCAGATTGAACACAGACATCCATGCGACACCGAGCCAGAGTGAAGTTGTATTTCAGTCACATACAGGATCCTTGTCTGGCTATAAGCTTCCTCACTAAAATTAGGTCAGATCAGAGCCCCCAAAGTGCTCTATAAAGTTAGGAGCTGGAAAATCCTTAAATGAAACTTCAGATTTCAGGATTAAATATCTGCAACTTTGTTCTCATTACCTGTTGGGCCCAGCTTCTCTTTAAAGCTTGAATTGAGGAAAGAGGGGTGCTGCTGGGTGGCACCTTCTTGCTCTTAACCTGCTGCTGCCTTCCTTTCCCACTACAGGTAAAGTCCATGGTTCCCTGGCCCGTGCTGGGAAAGTGAGAGGTCAGACTCCTAAGGTGAGTGAGAGAGTATTAGTGGTGGTGGTGTTTGGACTTTGTCTTTTCCTGTCAGAGCTAATCCAAGATCCTGGGCTCTTACCTTATTTGCCTTCTCCTCCCTGGAGATGAGTCTGAGGAAGGGATGCTAGGCAAGGAATACAGGAACCAGGGCCCTCCCTTTTCCAGGTGGCCAAACAGGAGAAGAAGAAGAAGAAGACAGGCCGGGCTAAGAGGCGGATGCAGTACAACCGGCGCTTTGTCAACGTTGTGCCCACCTTTGGCAAGAAGAAGGGCCCTAATGCCAACTCTTAAGTCCTTTGTAATTCTGGCTTTCTCTAATAAAAAAAAGCCACTTAGTTCAGTCATTGCATTGTTTGATCTTTATTTGCAATGCATCAGGGAGAGGTGTGGCTTCTCAGATTGGTGGTGTTTCCCCTAGAAGAACAGCAAGGCAGAGGCCATTGATAATGGGGGACGAAATGGTAAACTAGCGTTCCTTCACAGAAAAGTTTCCTGTGGAGAAGCAATAGCCACAGATCCTGGTGCTTCAGATACAGAATTGGGGTTATTCCCCCATCGTAAGTAACTTGATCAGTCCTCCCAAGTTATTCTTTTTCATCTTCTAAACAGAGAAGGTAGCAGGAATAATTGTGAGAGGTTTGTTATGGAGACAGCAATGGAAGAGAGGGGTGGGGGAAGAGGTTTGTATAGATGAATCTGGCCATTCCCTGAACTTGGGACTAGCTGTGGCCTTAGAGTCCAGGGCAGGAATCTGGCTGGCCTTGCTAACCTAATCGCATCTGTGATCAGATGTCTGCTGTCCGGCCTTTGCTAACTGAATCACATCTGTGATGGGAAATCTGGCTGGCCGGCCTTGCTGACCTAATCACATCTGTCATTGGGATATCGTGGTGTAAATGATCCCAAAAGTGGAGTACCTTTGGGGCTGATTCAAGGTTCCCTTCTGGCACCTGAGTCTCCCAGCACTTCCGTACCCTACTCACTCATTCAGCTAAAGTTTCTGGACCTGCCAGATCTTAGAAAATAGCATCCCACAGGGTAAAGCCCTTGGGCTGTGGAATTTTGACTGCCTGAGATTGGACCTTCTTTTCCTGCTTCATTTACTGGGTGGCTGGGCTTTGAACTAACTACTTATTTAATCTCTGCCATCATCTCCATAGCTGCTGTGAGGATTAAATAAAGGATGTAGATCAATATTTGGCTTATAGTTAATTTGTGAATATTGGCTATTTTTGTCTCCGTGGTGTTAAAGACATGACTTCTGCCTTCTAGCAGTTTAGAAAGGGGGAAGATATGGACAGATAAAATAGCATCCCAGGCAGGGCCTCTTTTTTTTGTTTTTGTTTGAGACAAGGTCTCACTGTCATCCAGGCTGGAGTGCAGTGGCACAATCATGGCTTACTGCAGCCTCCAACTCCTGGGCTTGGGTGATCCTCCCGCCTCAGTCTCCCAAGTAGCTGAGGACTACAGGTATGCACCACCACACCTGGCTAATTATTTGTACATTTTGTAGAGACAGCGTTTTGCTATGTTGCCTAGGCTGGTCTTGAACTAGGTCTTGAACCCCCTCACCTTGACTTCCCAAACTGTTGAGATTATGGGCATCAGCCATTGTGCCCAGCCTAAGGGCCTGTTTCAATGACACGTGTGAGACCTGACATGAACCAATCGAGTGATCAGGTAGGGGAATATTTCAAGCCAAAAGGACTGTATGAAAACTGGGGAAGAGGTGATGTCTAGGGATGGGTAGCAGATCCTGCAAGACCTTGTTAGCCGTGGAGAGGGGTTTGGGTTTGAGTTCAAGTGCAATGGAGGGTCACAGAAGGGTTTTGAGCAAGAGATGGATGTGATCTGATTTCTCTGGCAGGTTTTTCTGGAGGGCTGGCAAGAAAGGAAAAACACTTAATGTATTGTCATCCAGGTGAAGGGCAGGAGGCTTAGACCACCAGTAGTAGTGGGAATGCAAAGAATGGGTTCACAGTTTGGTGTGTCACAACCCCACTCTGCCACAAGACAGCTCTATTAGGACAGGGACCCCCCCACCCCCACCCCACTCCCTTTGATCTGTGTTGTGTTCTTGGCACCTGGAATGGGGCCTGCACTTGATAAAGATGGATGAATAGTAGTATTTAATGAAAAGGCGGGTTTGGAGGAAAAAAATAGGAGCTCAGATATTTCTTAAATACTGTTTTCTGCTGAACAAGGGAAACACACCCAGGCTATGCAGGCTAGGCAGCCCCAACTGCCTTTTCTTTTTTTCTTTTTTTTTTTTTGAGGTGGAGTTTCTCTCTCTGGCCCAGGCTCCCAGGCTGGAGTGCTGTGGCACGATCTTGGCTCACTGCAACCTCAGCCTCCTGGGTTCAAGTGATTCCCCTGCCTCCTGAGTAGCTGGGACTACAGGCACCCACCCCTCACGCCCAGCTAATATTTGTATTTTTAGTAAAGACGGGGTTTCTTCATGTTGGTCAGGCTGGTCTCAAACTCCTGACCTCAGGTGATCTGCCTGCCTCGGCCTCCCGAAATGCGGGGATTACAGGCGTGAGCCACCGCGCCCGGCTCCAACTGCCCTTTTGTTTGTGTCCCCTAGTGGAATGGCTGCTTCTCCAGCGCAGGGATGCATCACCTCCCGTAGGCTTGACACAATTAGTGGCCCACGGTAGGTGCTTTGCAAATACGGATTTCTGCCACAGCGCATTATAGTGCCAAAAAGAGGGTTTTCTGTTTAGACTATCAGACAACGTTTTGGTGTGACCACTAGGGGGCGACGTGGCACCGGCGGACCGCTGGTCGGACCCATTTTTCCGCTCCTTGCATCATCGTACAGGGCGGGGCTCGTACCTGACTCCTGGTTTCTGGGCCCGCCCTCGCCCTGCTTGGGAAAGGGGTGGGGTTAGGCTTCCGGGCTTGGGCGGAAATTGCCGAGAATCCTTGGGAGCTTTGCGAAACCAATGCGCGCCGTCGGCCCCGCGGTAAACCGGAAGTAATCAGAGAAGTCCCGGAAGTTTCGAACGACCGCCGGCTTGCATTCGCAGGTAGGTCGTGGCGCCAGTTTCCATGGAGCCGGCCGGGCCCTGTGACTTCTGCCCGGCGGGGGAGGGCCAACCCGCGCGTTACACCTGCCCTCGCTGTAATGCGCCGTACTGCTCGCTGCGCTGCTACCGGACGCATGGCACCTGCGCAGAAAACTTCTACCGTGACCAGGTGCTGGGAGAGCTCCGCGGCCGCAGCGCCTCGCCCAGCCGCCTGGCGAGCGCCCTACGCCGGCTGCGTCAGCAACGCGAAACCGAGGACCAGCCTGGAGAAGCAGGCCTCAGCCCCGGCGCGGCGCCCGGCGGCCTCTCGGGACTCTGGGAGCGGCTGGCACCGGCCGAAAAAGCAGCCTTCGAGCGACTGCTGAGCCGCGGTGAGGCCGGGCGGCTGCTGCCTCCATGGCGGCCGTGGTGGTGGAACCGCGAATCCGTACCGCCGCTCTTAGAGGAGCTGGATGATGCCCCGGGCAGTGATGCCGCGGAGTTGGAGCCTGAGCTTGCGAGGACCCCGCGGGAATCCGTGGAAGTTGCCTCCGCCGCGGAGCCTGTGGCCGCCGAGCGGGTTCTTGGACATGCCCCGGGGACCTTTATGCCCACCGTGCCCAGCCACATCCCCGCGCTCGTCAGCCTGAGCCGCGGCCCAGTCTCGCCGCTAGTGCGCTTCCAGCTGCCCAACGTGCTGTTCGCCT